CTGCAAATCTACCAAGACCCGGCCGTCCCTCTAAACTTTCATCTGGAACAAGGAGAAGACTGATCAGAGATGCAGCCAAGAGGCCCATGATCACTCTGGATGAACTGCAGAGATCTACAGCAGAGGTGGGAGAGTCTGTCCATAGGACAACAATCAGTCGTACACTGCACAAATCTGGCCTTTATGGAAGAGTGGCAAGAAGAAAGCCATTTCTCAAAGATATCCATAAAAAGTGTTGTTTAAAGTTTATCACAAGCACCTGGGAGACACACCAAACATGTGGAAGAAGGTGCTCTGGTCACATGAAACCAAAATACAACTGTTTGGCCTCAATGCAAAACGATATGTTGATTCTTCACAAAAAATTTAAATTTGATATATTTATGTTTGAAGCCTGAAATGTGGCAAAAGGTTGAAAAGTTCAAGGGGGCCGAATACTTTTGCAAGGCACTGTATATTATATTATCAGTAATAACAAGGTCAGGATGGAACGGGACAGATTGGTAAAGTTCATTATTGTGGTTCCTCAGTGCATAAAACAGGAGTAAGCAAGCACAAATTAGGCGGTAACAATATTATTTCTTAAAGTCTTTGCTCGTTAAGTTTATATCAAAAACTGTTTTTATAAATCTCCACTTTGGAAAGCAATTGTAAAGATGTAAGTGTTTCTCACCAAAAACACTGTTTGCATGTAGATAAACTGTAAATAAACTCTTATGTGGCGACTTCCTTGCCAACCAAGCTTCTCAAAGTGCTTTACAACACAATCTGTGCCCTCTTTAGAGTCAGAGTTTCTTTATTGTCATTCGCACCTCATGTGGTACATGTGGTGGAGCGAAATTATGTACACGGGGTCCCAGTTACATCCGACAATAAAATGTATAAGAAAAACAGTAATAACATCTAAGATATGAACTAAGAAAAACATCAACTAAATATACACTAAGCACTCATAAGCACTCACTTTAACCCATCAACACACATTCATACTGCACTCTACTACTTCTCTACAAAGCTAATCTGAATAAATCACTGCATAGAGACTAATCAGTGCTTTAGATCACATCCATACACCGATGGGGCATAAAGGAGGCAATGAGTGGTTCAGTGTCTTGCCCACTTCAACATGCTGCCAGGAATCAAACCTCCCACTTTCTCTTTGGCGGACAGCTGCTTTAACCCCCGAGCCACAGCTTCCAGACAAAAGGTGCAAATGCAAAAGATCTGTGTCAGTGAGGACTGAACCACAGAGACCGATTAAAAACTTGTTTTTCAAATATAAATTTTCCCTCCTGTCCAAGCAGCCAGCTGAGCATTGAGCGAGCCACCCCACTTCACACCTCTCCTCTGCTGGTTCGGCCTCTTTTGGCTTTAGTTCAGTACTCAACAGTATTTGAAGCACATACATAATTACCTTAACAGTAGATGAGATGTAAAACTCGAGAGCTCAGATCAGACATGTGTTCTCTATGTGTCAATTTATTTCCTAAATAGGCCTTCTGAATTTTCCTCGTGTGCTGTTTGACCACAGGCAGCATTGGTTGTTTCTGTGATGGTGACGCAGCTATTGGTGCATTCACTGACACTTAAAATCATGTAATGTTCAACATAAAAAAAGGAAAAAAGAATTAATTAAAGAAAACAAGAAACTGAAACTAGAAGTTAAATCTTCTACTTAATTCAATTCAATTGAGTTTATGTATATAGCACCAAGCCACAACAGAAGTCTTGCCAGGGCACTGAACAGAAACATTCATACTGTATACATAAAAAACAAGTTAAGATTAATTATCTAACAAGCCAACAGACTGCTTTGAGTTTTCACTTCATTGCAGTTTCCCATAAGCGAGCACAGAGGCAACAGTGGAAAGGAAAAACTCCCTCGTGAGGAAGAAACCTCCAGCAGAACCAGGCTCAGGACAAGTGACCATCTGCTTCGACAGGCTGGGTTTGAGAGGACAGGAAGGAGAGACAAACACACAATGACAGGTCCAGGATGTAGGCCATCAGGTTTTCTCTATAGGAGGAAAGACAAAAAGACAGAAATCACATGTTAAGAAAGAATAATTACAAATACAAACTATTCATTTAATTTCATTTGATGAAATGAGTTCAATTTGTTCTCCAGTAGTCTAAGGTTATAGCAACATAGGATAAGGAATAGGTCAGGAAACCAAGCCAGTTAACTATAGGAGTTGTCAAAAAGGAAAGTCCTAAGCCCAGTCTTAAAAATGGACAATGTTTCAGCCTCATGGACAGAAACTGGAAGTTGGTTCCACAAGAGAGGAGCCTGATAACTGAAAGATCTTCCTCCCATTCTGCTTTTGGAAACTTTAGGAACCACAAGTAAGCCTGCAGTCTGAGAGCAAAGATAGGAAACTATGGACGGAACAATAAGATCTCTAATATAAGATGGAGCTAGGTTGTTGAGCGCTTTGTAAGTTAGAAGTAAGATTTTGAATTCTATTCTGGATTTGACAGGGAGCCAATGGAGAGAAACTAAAACTGGAGAAATATGATCTCTCCCACCAACTCCAGTTAAAACTCTGGCAGCAGCATTTTGGATCAACTGAAGATTTTTAAAATAAGTATTTGGACACCCAGATAATAAACCATTACAATAATCCAGCTTAGAATGGAAAACACCAAATCTGTCATAAATATATTAGGTGCTAAATATGCTAAATAAATAAACACATAAAAATAAACAGGTAAATAAATAAACAAATAAAATAAATGATATAAAAAAATACATATATATATATATATATATATTAGCGCTCAGTCTTCAAGAAAAAGTGCGGAGCATGTAGTTTTTGAGGGATATTTGTTTGAGTTTCAGACATTATTCTGAACCACCTAACTTAAAGCCAAACGAAGTAGATTTTTTTTGTGATTTTCTCCTCATTATGATTTCTAAATGTCCTAAAAATCTATTTATAAAAAGTATATAAAAGTTTTAATTTCAGAAGATGCCAAACATTACGTGAACAAAACAATTGGGATGGCATTATAAACTAAATCCTTAGACAACTCCTGCACCTCTTGGTCACAATTATATAGAACACAATAATCACAACATCTATGCTTTGCATTTCATCTTCTATTTTAAGAGAGACACATTTACAAAGTCAGGAAGGAAGGCAGAAACATCCCATGGTCTGTCTGTAATTATGCATCTATTTTCTTATAATTAAGAAAAATTAATCCTCAAAGTGAAGAGGGGAAGTGAAAGATGGGCCATCTGGAGAAAGACTAGTGTGTCTGATGTGAGGAAATGTGAACATGAGTCCTCAGACCAGTCTAGAGCTGCAGGTAAACTCACAGTCGAACAGCAACATCACAAGCTGCAAAGCTGAATGATTTTTTTCTTCTGGTTCCTGTTATTTGCTCTCAGGTAATTTAAAGTCTAACACACCTGCTTTTGTAACCATCATCTCCCTTGCTGATAGCATGCTGACTGGGCTACGTTATACCAGACCTGAGGCTGGGCTGCTGGCATGCCAGCACAGTTCAGTTCTCAACTTTTAAATCTGCCTAATCCTCATTTCAGCAGCAGATCAGCAGCTTTATTAAGCCGGCTGTTTGACGGCAGCGATGGTTTCACTATGAGTGTGTGTTGAGGTGGGAGTTGACTGACATCCGTAGCAACAGTAGCTTGGAAACAGCTCGAGGTATCACGCAGAGTATGTTTAAGCAGTGAAGACGGTGGGAGGTGTTGGATGGTGGGAGAAGTTGCCGAGAAGACAAAGCCTCTTTGGGCACTTATCTGTACGTGAATGTGTTTGTGTGCATATGTGAGACAGAGGAGGAGAGTGTGTTAAAGAACTGAGTAGCCATGGTAATATTGACGTCTAAGGGTGTGAAGTGCTACAAGCTAAAGTGCTACTTTTTAATCTTTTTATTCTTACACACAGTTTGACTGGTTCGGCGCAAGCCTTTTGTTGTTTCGTCGTTGAAGCTTAACCAAGGAGATCTTATCCTTGGGAGCCATTCGGAGGGATGCTGGTGTGGACGGTGAACTTTTCAAGCTGCCGAACTGAAAGGGCAAGATGAACTCTGGCCATGAAAAGGAAAAGAAAGGGAAAGCATTAGGACAAAGCTTGATAAGGCTGCATGGCTTACTTTTGTTGCTTTTTTTTTTTTTGCAATGCTTCTAAAACTCACCTTCCTGCTAAAATGACAACAGATGACCCAAGAGACATTATGTGCAGTCGTGGCATGAATCTGTGTATGGACGGGTTGTTGACCTTAAAAACTCGCGTCAGCGTTGCTGCAGTTTGACTCGAGTCGACTCTTTTTGCGAAGTCTCTCTGCACTGCGAGTGTTTGCCTGCACTGTTTGTTTGTCTGGTTAAACTACTAAAAATAGAAGAAAAAAAAGCAGATGTGTATTTGCCGATGAAATATCACATCCTAAACGACTCATTTTTCTCATCTTGAAAATGTCACGCACACAAGAAGACATGGTCGTGTCAAAAAAAAATTGCTCAAACCTCATCAGATCTTTGACTTGT